TTTTGTTTTTTGAGACAGGGTTTCTCTGTGTAGTCCTGGCTATCCTGGAGCTCACTCTGTAGACCAGGCTGGCCTTGAACTCAGAAATCCACCTGTCTCTGCCTCCCAAGTGCTGGGACTAAAGGCGTGCGCCACCACTGCCTGGCATCGATCGATCGATCTTCCTTTCTTTCTTTCTCTCTCTCTTTCTTTCTTTCTTTCTCTCTAGACAGATTTTTTTTTTCATTTTTCTGTATACCTCTGGCTGTCCTAGAACTCACTCCTTAGACAGGGCTGACCTGGAAATCAGAGATCTAGCTGCCTACCTCTGCCTACGCGTGCTGGGGTTAAAGGTGGGTGCCACCACTGCTGGCTGGAATGTTTTAATTGATAATAGAGATGTTAAACTAGGTCTGAATTTACCAGATCTCTAAGATACCTTTAGTATCTCCTTGGGTCAAGATAGATCCACATATTTTACCGAGTATCCTTTCCCATAGTTCTGAGCAAATTCCCTGCAATGCATTCTGTGAATTTGTCCTGTCTTTAAATGGCTTCCTTTCATGATGATATATGGTATCATCTTCAACTCTGTTGGTCTCCCAGGGAGTACACATTTGGAAATGATGTCAGTGTTGTGCCAGACAGTAAGGGTCAGAGCCTTTAGACTCTTTATCCAAATGAGCAGTGTTTGATATCTCCTGGCTTACCCATTGACAACACCTTTCTTTTTGTGTCTTGCTGCCCTGTAGGGAGTGATGTTCTTATTGGTGACATCTTGGTCCTGCTTGGGGCTTCCCTGTATGCTGTGTCTAATGTATGTGAAGAATATATCGTGAAGAAGCTGAGCAGACAGGAATTTTTAGGAATGGTGGGACTATTTGGAACAATCATCAGTGGCATACAGCTGTAAGAATCTAAAATTTTCATAGAATCAAGCCAAAAAAATACATGAGAAGGGGACAGGGGGCTGGACAGTCAGGTGGGGGGAGTGACTTATAACAAAGTGTAATGACATATATGTGAAATATGTCAAAACTAAGGGCCAGCAATATGGCTCAGGAGGTGAGGATGCTTGCTGCCTAGCCTGGTGAGCTGACTTAAATCTCTGCGACCAACATGACAGAGAGAAGAAACTCCTGCAAGTGGTCCTCTCTCCTCCACTGCACACTGTGGCACACACGTGCATGGGCACACGCACGCGTGCACGCACTTAAACACACACACACACACACACACACACACAAATATAATACAAATAAAATGGCAAAACAAAAACCATTACTTAACATGCAAACTTAATTTTTTTTAAATTAGTAAGTAGGGGCTAGAGAAATGTCTCAGCACTTGAGATCTCTTGTTGCTTTGCCAGAGGACCTAGGAGGATCTCAGCACCCACATGATGGCTCACAACCATTGTAACTCCGTTTCCAAGGGCCCCAACTCTCTCTTCTGACCCCCAAGGGCACCAGCACATATATAGCAAACGGGCATATATACAGGCTGAACACTCAAACACATAAAATAAAAATAAATGAATCTAAAATAATTAATGAGAAAATATTTGATAGATGATTACTCTCTCCAGCTACTATTTGTTTAATCTCAAATCACATTTGAAATCAATAACTTGATAAAATCTAATAGAAGATCTTATTTTTTTAATTTGTTTGTTTTCTGAGACAAGATTTTACACTGTAGTTTAGGCTAGTCACTGTGTTTCTCAGGTTCATGACAATCCTGCTTCAGCCTGAGTTCTGGGATTAGCAGTATGAGCCACATACCTGTCTCTATATTTTTATATTATTTTTCATTTGTTTGTTTTTGGAGACACGTTTCTCTGCGTAGCCTTGACTGTGCTGGAACTCAATCTGTAGGCCAAATTGGTCTCCAACTCATAGAGATCCTCCTGCCTCTGCCTTCTGAGTGCTGTTATTACACCACCATCCAGTCGATTTTTATATTCTAAGAAAAAATTTAAAACTCAACATAGTTCTTTACTTTGGCCAAATTACAGCTTCTAAACTCTCTATAAAATAGGAAAACTTAACACATGGGTCTTCACACAGTTTCTTGTTTTGATCTTAGGTTGATTGTGGAATATAAAGACATTGCCAGGATTCAATGGGACTGGAAAATTGGTATGTATCTAAAGGGTAATTGGTATGTATCTAAAGAGTAAGTCAGTATTCTGTCCTTTAACTGACAAAAATACACACCAGTTCAATCATATTTTCATTTCTTTGGGCAGGGTAGCCTCTATCAGGATTAATTCTTAATCTTTGTTTGAAGCAATAGCTTTTCTTTTCTAAGAATTCTAAATAAAACCAAGATTGAACCTTTGTCACACTAGCTATCAAGCAAATAAGTCTACATCTTAGGTCCTTGAACTTTTAGAGGTTACCACACTCCATGAAAGTTGTGAAGCATTAACGCCAAGCGGTTGATGGTTGTATAATCACCTTCTGACCACTGTTGGCCCAATTCCTCTGATGTCCTTGCACTAAAGCAGAAGGTGTTAGGATACTTAAGAAAAATCTGAACCTTAATGATGGGTAGGAAGTAGTTAAATAGTACATAAGTGTTGCTGAAGATTGTATTCTATGATTATATAATGCAGGGGAATTTAAATATCTTAGATATCCCGAAAGTACATGCCTCTCCCCCACTTTGTGTGTGCGTGTGTTGAACATAGGATGGGGTTTTAAAAAGTGCTTACAAGCCGGGCGGTGGTGGCGCATGCCTTTAATCCCAACACTTGGGAGACAGAGACAAGTGGATTTCTGAGTTCGAGGCTAGCCTGGTCTACAGAGTGAGTTCCAGGACAGCCAGGAACATACAGAGAAACCCTGTCTCGAAAAAAAAAAGAAAGGAAAGAAAAGAAAAGATGCTTGCAAAACAGACATATTGCTACTGCTGTCAATATCTGCATGGTCAGTGCTGTCTTAAAGTAGAGAATAATATTGTTCTATCTTGGAACATGTAATTCAACGAGCCGAATAAAATAGAATGATCTAATGTCCGTCTTTGATGTCCTAAAAATACTTTATTGTGGGGCTGGAGAGATGGCTCAGTGGTTAAGAGCACTGTCTGCTCTTCCAGAGGTCCTTGAGTTCAAATCCCAGCAACCACATGGTGGCTCACAACCACCCATAATGAGATTGGATGCCCTCTTCTGGTGTGTCTGAAGACAGCTACAGCGTACTCATATATAATAAATAAATAAATAAATAAATCTTAAAAAAAATACTTTATTGTGAATCCAGTCATACGTACCACACCAACCAACCAATCAAGTAAAAACACACAAGGCCAGTGAGGAATTTTGTCTTTTGACATGTGATATTGAGCTGGCTTTGGTTGAACTTTTATATCAGAGCCCAGCCTTTTGTCTTGGTGGATGATGCGGGACGAAGGCTGTTGGCTCAGTCACACCCCTCTTGGTCATCTAACTCCCTGTTGGATTTTCACAACATGCTATTTTATGATTACTGTTTTCCAGAAAGCTTTGTAGTCTTTTTAGAAGGCTGACTGTTAAAGAGAAGCTTTGCAGGAAGGGAGTCTGTCAAAGAATCAGGAGTTTTCTGTGGCATTCACACCCTAAGCACCTTGTCTTCTGATTTCTCTTCCTGACGTGAGCTGTTTCATTTCTTCACAGCCCTGTTATTCGTGGCATTTGCCCTCTGTATGTTTTGCCTGTACAGCTTCATGCCACTGGTGATTAAAGTCACCAGTGCCACTTCAGTCAACCTGGGCATCCTGACAGCCGACCTCTACAGCCTTTTCTTTGGGCTTTTTCTATTCGAATATAAGGTAAGAAAATAGATTATGTTTGAGTAAGAAAACATAAGAAAACTTAAAATGAGTTTATCTATTTATTTGAGATAGCCTCAGGTATCCTAGGCTAGCCTGAGATTCACTATGTAGCTGATGATGATCGATGATCTTCAACCTCTGTTCTGTCATGGTTGGTTTATGCTGAAGATGGGACCCACGGGCAAGTATTCCTTCAACTGAGGTACACCCCAGCTCTAAAGTCAGTCTCTCTCTCTCTCTCTTTTGTTTTGTTTGTTTGTTTTTTTCGAGACAGGGTTTCTCTGTGTAGCCCTGGCTGTCCTGGAACTCATTCTGTAGACCAGGCTGGCCTCGAACTCAGAGATCCTCCTGCCTCTGCCTCCCGAGTGCTGGGATTAAAGGCGTGCACCACATGCTTGGCTACAACACGTTTCTATAAGACTCTGGATCTCAAAAACAAAACAAAACACCTCCTTCTTGTCCTCTTAGCAGTAATTTCACTGGACAGGCGTCACCCATTTTGTTACTGTTTACAGCTTAGAAATTGGTCTGAAGAAGAATTGTCCTTCTAAGGCTTTCCAACATGATAAAACACAGTGGGATTCATCTTTGATGTACAGTTGAGAATACCAGCTGTAAGCCATGCTCCAACGTGTTCCAGAGGCTGCTTGGAAATCAGTCCAGCTCAGGCTGGATGCTCAGTCTCGTTCACTCTTTTTATACACAAAAGGTCTGAGGTAGCTGGTGGGTAGGCAGGAGAGTTGGGCCTGTTATCATCCATGTGTGATTAGAATAGCTCCATCTTTAGTGGTAATTTTTTTTTTTTTTCTGAGACAAGCCTAGGCTAGCCTCAAGCTCACTGTGTAGAAGAGGATGACCTTAAACTCAGGATCCTCTTGCCTTTACTTTCTGTGTGGTAGGATTACAGACCTGGCTACCTTCTAGATACCCAAATAGGAATTCTTGGGGCTGATTTATTCTCTTCCTAGGAACTAGCAGCCACGAACTCACAAGGCTTATCTGAATTATTGACACATGAAGCCCAATGAGTTGTTTGTGCACCAAATGTAAACCTTTTTACCATTAAAGGTGATGTGGGGAAGGAGCCAGATGATGTCTTTGAATGCTTGCTGGTGAAGGAATTTCTCAATTAACATTGGTAAAATATTTATTGGTTATTGACAGTTTCACATGAAAATATTAAAGTGAATCAGAGGAGTAGTTTTTTATGATAGGCTCAGTTTTTTTTTCACCTTTTGAGAACATAATACAATCACAACATTTCTCTTTTCTCTTTCCTCCCTTCTGACCCTTGCAGAGACCTCTTCCCTCCCTCCTTCAAATCTATAGCGTCTTCTGTCTTCCTTCACTAACTGTTATTGTATGCATATATGCATATTCTTATGAGAATTAAGGACAGCTGCATTTCTCCTAAGGGAGGGAGTTGCCCTCTGGTGCTGAGGCTGCACATGGCCCTCTAGGGGACAAGAGTGTTCTATACTGGGATTCCAACTTAGAGGAGTGACCATCTGTGGCCTTCCTTACCTGTTTAACTTTTTCTCTGTATTTAAAAAACATTATTGCATATCATTTATTTATCTCTGTGTGAGCACGTAGTTGGGACATAGCGTATGTGAAGATCTGGGTGACTTTGGGAATCAACTCTCTCTTTCCATCACATGGGTCTTGAGGACAGAACTCAGGCTGTTAGGACCACTGTTGCAGCGCCTTTACCTGCCGAGCCTTCTCCCTGGCCCCACTTTTCCTATTTTTTAACTAACCATATTATCATTAGTAATATAATATAATAAATATAATATAATAGTAATAATCATTAGCTTTTTATTTTCTACTCTAAGTAGAATAATGTCCAAGAGGAGATAAAGGTAAAGGAATAAAGCCTCCCAGTTCAAGGTACACTTGTCACTACTTATTATATTTTGAATCATAACAAATACTTTATTTCATAAACCTCAAATATTTCAGCCTCGGATCTTAAATACTTTCTCATCAACAGCTTCTGACATCAACATGAAGAAGTGTTTGTCTGTGTCTTGTTGTTGGGCATATGACCCCGCACTGCTCCCATTTCCACACGGAATGGGAGCACGCCGTTGCATGGCCACCCTTCCGGTTATTTTGTTAGTGGTCCTCTGTACCTGCGTGTCTAGCAGCTCACGTTGATATCATAGTTTTACTGGTTTTGGTCAAAGTGCATTTGAAGACTCAGAGAGCAAAGGACAGCTCTACCATAATCCTCAGACTTTTGGATGTAGTTTGTGCAGGTGCATGCATGTATGTGTGTGTAGGCCTGGAGAGGACATATGTTATGTGCCTGGGGCCCCTGAGATCTTCACTGTCCCCATAATGCTGGGCTTACAGACTTATTGGTCACACAGCTTTTTATGTGGGTGCTGAGTATCTGAACTGAAGTCCCCACGTGTGCACAACCAACCTTACCCTCCAGTCCATCCTCCCAGTTCCCTAGGTGTCGTTTCTGAAGACAGACTCTTGTAAGCTACCAGTTTAAAAAAATCATACTCCCTAAAAATGTGGCTCAGAATCTTTTCCAAACTAGCATCTGACAAAGGGGCTTAAATTCTCCTTTTAAAAGGTATCTGTTTCAGCTCTTAAATATTCCACATGTCTATTATGGATCCTGAGTGAATGAATACTGTTGAATAAATAGTCTATAGAGACTTCCCATATATATCCAGACACAAAGGATAGAGTTAAAAATGGAAAAGGCTAGGACTTTGTTTGGGAGACTGACCTCCTTCACTCAGTCTCTCTACCGAGTGACACAAGAGTTAGAAGTTACGTTCTTGGCACACTGGAAAGTCACGAAAGCAAACAGGACCTATTTTGAACAAACTATATAGGTTTTCCATGAGTCACATGAACACTGTCTAGGAAGCGGGAATGGCTTTCATAACTCTGTTTTAAACGTTTGCCAAGCTGGGTGCAGCAGCACAGGCCTGAGCAAGCTGAGTGCAGCAGCACTGACCTGAGCCTAAAGTCCCAGCTCCTAGAGAAACTGATGAGGGTTACTTGAGTTCAGGTGGTCCAGACCAACTTGAATGACATAATGAGATCCAATCTCAAAGGGAGAAAAAGATGAGGTCGTATTAAATAGTTTTAACATTCTCTAATGGTCTCCCAAGTAATTTTCCTCCTATCAGCATTAGACACGAGTGGTGTGTTGGGCACCATGCTAAATGCTAGACATAAAAATTAAAAGCTCGTTGTAGGTCAGTGAGTCAGCTGTTCAGCTTGACATCATCATTGGCTTTTGCTCTTATTTGATTTCATTTTTAAACTTATTTCGTGCATGTATGTACATGTATGTGTGTATGTGTGTATGTGTGTGTATGTGTGTGTATCTATCCGTTTGTGTACATACCAGATGTGTGGGTTCCTGAGGAGGTCAGAAGAAGATGTTAGATCCCCTGGAGCTGGAGTTATAGGTGTTTGTAAGATGTCTGACTGGGAACCAACTTCTGGTCTTCTGAAAGAGCAGCAAGTGCTCTTAACCACTGAGCAAGCTCTCTTCTCCATGCTTTATGTACCTATTTAATTTTGATACAGTGTTTGATTATGTAGTTCAGGAGTCTTGAACTCTTCAGTCCCCTGCCTTTACTACCCAAGAGCTAGGATTGCTGGTGTGTGCTACCAGGCCAGGCTGTCATTGAGTTTATATCTGTATCCTCGGAAGGCTGCCCCATCTTGGAGAGGCTGTTCCAGTCCATAGCAGGGTTAAGATTAAACTAAGTGTCATGTTTCATGGCTAATCCTGGCACTTAGTAAGTTTAGGAACAGCCTGAACTACATGAAAATATGTCTCAAGATACTAACACCAACAATCCCAAACCAAAGCCATGTCTTACTGTGCTGGGCCCATCCCTGTAGATTGTGGGTAACTGAAACTAAGAAAAAACCCCACACAGATAAATGGGATAACTGCACTGATTTAAACCTGAACTTTTGAAGGAGTCTTAATTTGAAAAAGAGCAAATGTTTAAATTATTCAATATAATTGACTTTAACTTTTGGGGTATGTCAGGATGCCACCTGTGGAGGACATGCCCGATGGACTGATCTTATCTTCTCGCATTCTGCCCTGGGTGCTTATTTTCAGTCTTAAAAAGAATAGGTTAAAGGAGATGGAGTGACTAATCTATGTATTAGTATTGGCTGCTCTTCCAAAGGCTCCAGATTCAATTCCCAGCACTCAATGGTGGATCATAACTGGCTGTACCTCCATGTACACAGACACACATGCAGGCAAAACACACATACACATAAAATAAAAATGAAGGAAAAAGAAAGAGCGAGCAGATGAGGGAATAGAAACTCCCTCCATCCTATGGAGCCTCTGTCAGCGTGGTCCTCCATCTTGGTCCTTCTGGAGAATGGAAGCAGATGCCTCTTGCAAGAACTATTCCCCGACTGTCCTTGCTCTGGTCATCCTACTGGATTTCAGCCTCTCCTACAGAATAATGTCCTGATACTCTTTGGCTCTCTGAATTTGCTCAGTTGTTGTCAGGTACTACTGTTATTATTATTATTATTATTAGTAGTAGTAGTAGTAGTAGTAGTATAGACTTACCTACAGTGATACAAGAGTTTGTTCAACTTAGCAAGATGAAATTCACTGAAATAGTGTAGGCCAGGAAGATCCAAGCGGATGTCCTGTGTTGGATAATAGAGCCATAAGCTGGGGTCTCTCATGATGTGCATTCTTGTCAATTACGTATTCCGTTTTGTAAGACAGCTTTCTTGATGAGATCCAGTAAGTGGATCACTGTAGAGAAAGGAAAGAGATTCTTCCCAAAGGCCCAAGGGATGTAGCCCAGTCGGTAGTATATTGGCCTGGCATGTATGAAGCTTTATATCCTTAGCACTGTACAAACCACTTGTGGTGGCCCACAACTATAATCCCAGCACTTGGGAGGTAGAAATAGGAGGATCAGACATCTGAGGTCAACCTTGACTACCCAGTGAGTTTGAGATCTGCCTGGGCTGCATGAGACCCTGTCACAAACAAAGGCCAAGGATCCAGTTCACTGTCAAGCCAGGTACTATATAGTCCAAGCCCAGTATTTGCCAGTGTTTCGGGGAGGGCTGGGGTGTTGGCATCTCCTTTTTTGATTTCCAGAAAAAGACTGTGAAGGTAGATCTTTAAAGAACAGCTGAAAACTGGCCATAGCCCCTTGCTTGTGTGAGGGAGTGTAACTAACTGCCTATTTTCTCTTCACAGTTTTCAGGACTCTACATCCTGTCCTTCACAGTCATCATGGTAGGCTTCATCTTGTACTGTTCCACTCCAACGCGCACGGCAGAGCCAGCAGAAAGCAGTGTGCCCCCTGTCACCAGCATCGGGATCGACAATCTGGGACTGAAGCTTGAGGAGAGTGGTCTCCCAGAGACCCACTCTGCAGTCTTGTAGCTTGACAAGCCACATACTCAGATGTGTCACCATGAGAGAGCAAAGCCTGCCACTGCCAAGGGCGTATCTGAGGGGACATTACCCTCAGAGGGAAAAACCCACTGCATTGGATTATGTCCATGGTTAGATTGTAGAAAGGAACACTGACCAGTGGTTCCAAACTAGAAATACTAAAATAGAGCAGAGTGCCCAAGGGTAGTGTTTCTGTGTGTTGGGTATCAGTACCTGTCAGCGTCAGAGAGACATGTGCAAGGCCCCTTGCTGGGGTTTCAAGACACATGTAAGAAGAGAAGGAGGGATGGGGGACCTGCTTCAGGGCTGTTTAGGTAGTTAGGAGTTGGGACAGTCTGGAATGGTTGTGCAATAATCTTCCTCTTTTGGAAGCTTCACATTTTTGTTCTACTGGGGCAGTCACTATCCATGGGCCTTGTGGAATTTATACACCCATGATGGCTGGTACCTGATGGTAGGTGGTGGGGAAAATGGGCAGGGCAGCAGTTGAGAACTCCCAAGATAAATTGTGACTACTTTGAAAGCAGCTAACAAGTACAGGAATCCAGGAATCCTCTCCTGGTTTTGTTCTTCGAAGCTTTATAACCAGTCTCTTCCCCTCTGCCCTCTGCTCTTGCGTTCTGAGTTCCGGAGCAAACCTCTCTCAAAGCTGGTTACATTGGGCAAATCCTACATTCAGCTCCACACTATACGCTGAGAGTTCTCCAAGCAAATCCACTCATGTTACTCTTTTAAAAATATCCCCGGTGATATTCCGTGGGTGTGTGGAGAGGTACGGGGGAAGGGGATGTCTCAGCGGGCCCATGCCGAGGCATCTCTTCCCCCTGAGGGACCAGTCACACACCGGTATAGCAGTATAGCAATAGAATAGGGTTTATTCAGGGCATGGGGAGGGGAGCCAGGAGGGTGGCAGAGGCAGAGGCAGAGGCAGAGGCAGAGGCAGAGGCAGAGGCAGAGGCAGAGGCAGAGGCAGAGGCAGAGGCAGAGGCAGAGGCAGAGGCAGAGGCAGAGGCAGAGGCAGAGAGAG